TTTCATATAGATCTATTCGAAAATCGGAGTGCCCAACAAAATGAAGGTTGTTGTATTCATCGATTTGCATAAAGTCAAAGATAAAAAGTTATGTGGCACCTCACAATGAATTTGAAAAACAATTAGTAGAGATCTATTTAGATTTCTTAAACGTGAAACAAATGAGTATCCATGATAATTTCTTCTTATTAGGTGCTCATTTGATGCTCATTGATCAAATAAGATATAAAATAGCAGAGAAATTGAAAGTGAATTTATCCATTCAAGTGTTCTACGAAAATCCGACATTATCGATGCTATCTGAATATTGCCGTAGTTTGCTAGCAGAAAGACCATTAGATAAACAACAGCATACGTTATTGAATCTACCTGAATTAGTAGAGCAAGAGGAATCATCGAAATATCAACCTTTTCCCATTACAGAAATGCAACGAGCTTATTTAGTTGGAAGAAGTGGACATATTCAACTTGGTAATGTTTCCTGCTTCTACTACCAGGAATATGACTGTCCACCAGAATTCGATATTAAACGATTGGAACAAGCAATGAATCAGCTGATTCAGCGTCATGAAGCGTTACGCATAGTCTTTCCATCTGAAACAAAACAAAAGATTTTAAGTGATGTCCCTTATTATATCATAGACGTCTTTGATACGGATGATAATATATCTTTAGAGAAACAACTCGTTGAAAGACGTGTACAGCTGTCTCATCAAATACTTGCCGCAGATCATTGGCCACTTTTTGATATTCAGCTAACTCGCTTCAGCATTAACAACAAAACTCGGCATCGCTTACACATTGGATTCGATTTCCTTATCGTTGATCTTTGGAGTCTACATTTGATTTTATATGAACTAGATGAACTCTACTTTAACAATAATACTGCTTTAAAACCACTTAATCTTTCATATCGAGACTATATAATGGCTGAGCAACAAATGAAAACTATGCTTAATCATCAACATGATAAACAATATTGGATCAATCGCTTGGGATCGTTTCCAGTAGGTCCTAATCTGCCATTACAATGCTTGCCGATCGAATTACAGTCACAGCGATTCTGTCGTTTGCAACAAACGTTAGATAAGTCTATATGGAAAAATTTGAAAAAAATCATGAGAAAACTTCGGGTGACGCCAATTAGTTTTCTGGCGTCCGTTTATGCCATAGTAATAGCTAATTGGAGTGAAGACAAACACTTTTCTCTCAACCTACCGGTAAGCCATCGATTACCAATGCATGAGCAAGTTAATCAAATAGTAGGCGACTTCACATCGGTGATTCCACTTGAATTCGATTTGAATCAACCAATTAATTTTTATCAGTTTGTTGGCATTGTTCAAAAACAGCTGTGGAGTGATCTTGAACATTTGTCTTATAATGGACTGTCATTTATTCGTCAATTGATGCAAACGAAAAATACGAGAGAAACTCTCTTACCTGTTGTTTTCACATGTGGAATTGACAATAGTGATTCCAATGATATGAATAGAAATATTAATATTCTTTTCGATCAGTATGCAGTATACGGTGTTTCCCAAACTCCTCAGATCTTTCTTCATCATCATGTATATGAGCATGATGGTCAATTAAAATTCTACTTGGATCACATCGAAACTTTATTTCCATCGAATATGCTGGAAGATATGCAGAAAACATTTAAGGATTTACTGACGATGCTAGCATGTTCAGATGAGATGTGGCAAAAGCCGATCGTTCCTGTCTTACCATATGAACAACAAAAACGACGACGTCTTTTTCTAGAAACAGAATGGAAAATAAATGAGGATCATAGATTACTTCATGCTATGATCGCTGCACAAGCTGAAAAAAGACCTGATGATTGGGCTGTTCTTTCCTCGCGTGGAAATCTTACATACAAAGAGCTAATGAATCATGCTTATACTCTAGCATATTATTTACAACAACAAAGTGTGAAACCAAATCAGTTGATTGCGATTTTAATGCAAAAAGGTTGGGAGCAAATTGTTGCTTGTTTAGCTATTTTGTTATCGGGTTCTGCCTACTTACCATTGGATATTGATGCGCCAAATGATAGATTGTGCACATTGATCAAAGAAGCGGATGCCAAAATCGTTCTAACACAGTCTGATTGTTTGTCAATGTTTCCACATTTCAACACTATCTCAGTTGATACATTCATTGGTAGTGTTTACCCAATCCCATTTCCCCTACAGCAACAATTGTCGACTGATTTGGCCTATGTTATCTTTACATCAGGTTCAACTGGAAAACCAAAAGGTGTCATGATTAATCATCAAGCAGTCATCAATACAATTCTTGACATGAATTCACGGCTGGAAGTTTCAGCTAAAGACAGAATATTTGCCTTGTCTCATTTGAACTTTGATCTTTCTGTTTTCGATATATTCGGAGCATTGATTAGTGGTGGAGCTATTGTCATACCTGATCATCAACATTATAAGGATCCAAAACATTGGTATGAAATGATGGTCACACATCAAGTGACTATTTGGAATAGCGTTCCAATGCTGATGCAAATGTTAGTCGAACATTTGAAGGAAAACTATCGTGAAAATCAGTTGCGTCATGTTCTCTTAAGTGGTGATTGGATACCGATTTCATTACCAAAATCGATAGCAATGACATTTGGTGACCATGTGACAATAACTAGTTTGGGTGGTGCTACTGAAGCATCAATTTGGTCAATCATCTATCCAATTCCTAAAGAAATACCGATTAGCTGGAAATCCATTCCATATGGAGTACCTCTGCGAAATCAGCAGTATTACGTATACGATACCAATTTAAATGATTGTCCCGAATGGGTAACTGGTGAGTTATATATTGGAGGCATTGGATTAGCTGATGGTTATTGGAAAGATTCTGTCAAGACTCAAACGAATTTCATTACTCATCCCCGTACTCGTGAGCGTCTCTATCGAACAGGTGATTATGGTCGATTCCTACCGGCTGGATATATTGAGTTCATTGGACGAAAAGACTTTCAAGTGAAATTACACGGACATCGAATCGAACTTGGAGAAATTGAATACCACCTCGATCAACATCCCGATATTCACCAAGCAATGGTAACTGTTGATAAGAATTCTCAACGACTAATAGCATGTGTGATGCCAGAAACGAACTCTACTGCGACAAACGATTTGGTGGAAACTGATATTATTATCACTAATTCTATGGAGCACAACAATTTTAAACTGGCTCAACATGACACACAATGCAACACAAGAGCAAGCAAACATTTTTCTTTGACAAGACCCGAACAAACAGAAGCATTAATCAATGCCTACTATACACGAAAGAGTTACCGACAATTCACGAGTGAAACCATGGAAAAGTCTCAAATCGAATACCTTTTAAGAAAATGTTGTTGTAGGATGAATGGGAGTATAAACATCAAACCAATGTTAGATTTCAATAATTTAAGTGAGTTTCTGTCAGTATTAATACCAAGCCCTATCGGAGATCAAACAGTACCAAAATATCGTTACGCATCAGTTGGAAGTCTTTATCCAGTTCAAGTTTATGTTGAAGTATTTTCAACAATCAGTAATATTCTACCAGGTCTTTATTATCATAATCGAGACGAACATAGTCTTGAATTCATCGATATCGTTTCCAACAAATCTAACTTTGATGTGTACTTACATCTTGTCGGAAAATCATCAGTCATTTCATCTTTATATCAAAAAAAAGCCGGAGCTCATTTTTGTATATTAGAAACAGGCTATATTGTAGGACTCTTGCAACAAGAAGCATCACAAAGGGGATGGAAACTATCAAATATTACTGATAATGATGGTAGAATACAGCAACGTCTTAATTTAAAAGACAATGATACGTGTCACAGTTTTTCAATCAAGTATGTTAAAGACCAATCATCTGCTGACAATGACGGAGAAGAAATAGAATGTCCAAATTGTTATGTTTATTTGAAATCATATGATAATGAAAAAAACCAATGGCTCACTTATGACAAGAAAGAGGAAACCCTCACAACTCTTTGTATAAAATCTGACAAAGAGCAAGAACAAATATCACTTATTTTTCCTGATGATGATGACAGAAAAGTTATTTTTCATAATTGTCAAGCTGCTATATTTTTTATTGGTGAACCTCAACATACTATAAATGTAGGAATTATGGCTCACTTATTGATGTGTGCCGGTGTAGAAATCGATGTTGGTGTGTGCCCAGTTGATAGTCGGCAAAGGTTTCCATCAAACATTAATGTTACAATCGACGAAATTCTTAATTCTTATTCATCGAGTACAGACAGCCAACTATTACATATACTGCTCGTTGGTAAAATTGATCAAGAACAAAAGTATGGACGTACAATTTCAAAAGTGAAATTGATGCCTAATTACAGTCAAAAAATAAAAGAATACTTGAATGAAAAGCTGCCAACATATATGGTGCCATCACTTTTTATTATCCTTCGTAAATTGCCTTTAAGTGCAAATGGTAAGGTGGATAGAAAAGTCTTGACAGATCCGAATCTATTACATTCAAACTTTCAAGATAACTATGTGGCACCTAATAATGAATTAGAAAAAACTTTAGCAGTCATTTGGCAAAAACTTTTAGGTGTATGTCAAGTATCATTTCATGAGGGCTCTTTGCAACAGCCATCGAAACAAAACTTGGCTCATTCAGAGATGTCAGTGGATACTGAATCAAATGCAATTAATAATCAATGCAAAGATGAAAAACTAGTTTCTTTCAAGAAATCGACGGAATCAAATGGTTTAAGCATCTCTACCAATGCAAGCTTCTTTTCTATCGGTGGTGATTCATTACTTCTCATCAAACTCTATCAACGATATCAATCAAAGTTCGGCTTCGACGATCAAGCGCTGAGCATTGGACAATTCTTGCACAAAGTTACAATAGAGGAACATGCAAAACTACTTCAATCAATCAATCTGAACAACACAGTACCACAAGCGTGGCAAGCTCTTCATATCAGTGAAGGTATTCATCGTCTTCACAAGATTATTATTGTAGTTTCTCTTGTTTAGGCATTGCCTCTTTTGCTCAAGAGCGTATTTTTCTTGATGAACAAGTCCGGTTTTCGAAAAAAGCGGCTGTGTACAATGAGTTGATTGTTTTCCGGATCGAAGATGGTTCATTTTCATTGAAACGCCTTCAACAAGCCATTCGAGCCGTTTTAGAGAAGCAAAAAGTTTTGCGCACACGACTTTATTTCGACAACAATAAAGGTGCTGTAATGCAGAACATCGTGCATGATATTTACCAGAATTTAAGATTGACAACAAAAGAATTCGTAGACGATGACAACCTTCATTCAATTCTTCATGAAATGATCACAAACCCAACACTTTTCGATTTGTCAAAGGGACATGTATTTCATTGTGAAATACTACGACATGCATCCATCCACCGAAATAATCAAAACGATATAATTACGGCTCCAGATATTCTTGTATTTGCCTTCCATCATATAGCATTTGACGGCGCTTCCAATGCAATCTTCTGTAATGACCTAAGTACTGCATTTAATACTGGCAATCTATTGCCCTTTGACAATTGCTCCCTACAATACATCGATTATTCAATACATGAACGTCAAATAGATATGACAGCATCGCGTGAATTTTGGCGATCAGAAATAAATGGATACAACTTTGAACACCACTTACAGTTACCAATTGATCGACACCGTTCAAATGTTGACGATCGATCCAATGCGGCTAGCTCAGCTCGATTTTCACTCGATGATGATCTTTCAGCTTCATTTCTAGAATATGCTGCCATGATGAATATTACACCATTTCAACTTGGTCTAGCCACATTCTATGCATTTCTTTTCAGATTGTGCAATAGAAACAAAGATTTATGTGTGGCTTGTGTCAATGCTAATCGGTATAGAGCTGAGATTCAAAATCTTGTTGGTATGTTTGTCGCCACCCTTCCTTACCGTATTCAACTCGATCCACATGGCTCCTTTGATAATCTTGTCACAAACGTTCGAGAGAAATGTTTGTCGATTCTTGAACATTCTCATTATCCGCTTCAACATATTTTAAGTAATGCAGATCACCCAGAATCAGCAGCTGCCTTCCTTGAGATCGTTTTCAATTTCATTAGTTCTTCACAAGAAGTCAATCGTTTGAACTTCACTGGAACGAAAATCGAGGCTTTGGAGATGCAAAAAATGAATGTAGTAGCTAAATTCGATTTTATGCTAGTTTTCTCCTGTGAGACATTATCAGAAAAAGAGAGAATATCATGCTCTCTAGTTTGCTCGAATGATTTATTCGACGAGGCAACAGTTTCAAGACTAGCACGACGCTTCGAACAATTGCTCTTACAGCTTTTTTCGCCCAAACCCAATATTATTAAGATTAATCGATCTGAAACTCCACTTGTTAGACTGAATCTTCTTCTACCTGAAGAATCTGAAGAAATGCAACAACTAACCTTCCAGCGGCAGCCAAGCTATACAAACACAGGTACGTCTATTAGATTTTTTCAGTGTCTTTCTAATGATGAGTTTTGCATGAAAACATCATTCTATGTATGTGAAAATGCATCGATACATTCTTAAGAAGTGGGAAGCATCAAAGTTTGCGAATTATAGTATTTGAAACATATCAGAGCCTTGACTTTTCATCCTTTGAGAAAGATGCTTTATAGAGCAAATAAAGACGTGATATTTAGCCATTCAAGATATGGACAAGTATCTGAAGAAATTTTCACAATATATTATGGAACATCTAATCGAACTGTTTTGCTCTGGAATCCTAATCCTAATTACACCGTTGGATACAGAACTTTGTAATTTTACGATTTGTGATGTCTGAATCCACAGCCTTGTTCTTCCGACACCTTATTTGCTTTTCCTGAGATTTTCAACATCGGTCGATGTCGAACAAGGCACCTGACATATGCATACGTCAGGATATGTGCAACTGTGCATAAGTTGGTGTTTTGTGAAATAAGGTGCTGCTAACTATTTTAGTATCGGGAAAGAAGAAATTAATAAGTTAGTCCATTAATACGCTACCAATACGTATTCATTTACTTGCGTAGTTATACATGAAGATCTACGAGCATATCGAACCAATAAACTGATAATCTCTTCAGCAATTTTACAGGTTCATTCTCATTGGAACGAAACTTAACTCTTCTGACTATATTGCGATGATGGGACCACAAAAAATTGATTGAATTCATGTCAAAATCACAAGAATTGAATAGTGATATCTGTTTTTGTGTTATGAACTTCTGATGTATGTGCGAAATTTGCTTTATAAATCTTCATACTTCGGAATTTTATTGTTATCATACCATTAGGCAAAAATTTTCAAACATTTTAGAAAAGCAGTTTTGGACGATTTCGAAAGGCGACAAATTAATATTGAGTATTTCTTTTGTAAATGTTCAGTAAAATTTGTTTAGTATTATATTCAAATGTTCAATAAAAAATCAAACGATCAGTACGAAATTCAATGTTTGGTTACTATTTCGTTCGTTCAGTTAATTTATTGCTTGCACAGTAAAATAATAAATTGATCAATATTAAAATTAAAGTTTCAGTAATCAATTTAGTTTGCTGAGTAAAAAATTCATTTAATCAGTGAAAAGTAGTATTATTATCAGTAATCACTTATTTTTCCTTATAAAAATATTTTGATTTAAACAGACGAGCAATGATTCACATTGACTGATGATGATGTCATAAGTCAACACTATGTTACATGGTCATCCTCGATAATAGTATACATAAAATGTGTCACTTATCGATGCAATGTATTTTTAACCTTCTTTTTTTTATCGTAGTATAGTTGTTCTATCTTTTACAGTTACATATAAAGATGAATACATTGTGTCCTCTCTTTGTTTTCCATGTAACAAAGGTGAAGAAGATTCTCGCTATCGTGCTCCTGTTCGCTCATTTGTCTATTTCTATATAAAGGCTCGTTTCCTCTAAATAATTTGAATTCTGATTGACCATAATTGCTATTGCTAATTTGATCTTAAAATGTTGGAACGGCCTTAGAAATTGTTGAAGTTTCAACTTATGTTTCTGACGACGAGATGGATACAAATGAAAATATAGAGGTGCATTGTGTAGATGTGGATATCCTAGTCGACTCTGGGCAACGAAATCACCGAAGAATTCCCTGAAAATACGAAATCCTCGGGGAATTCCTGTCGTGAGTCTCGGAGCAGGTGCATATTTCAAGACTCCTCTAAAACTCTCATTTGAGTCCCCATATTTTATGGAGTCCCTCTAAAGTTTTCATAAATTTGAATTTTTCAGAGAATTCCAATGGTGGTTTCCTAGTAAGACCATGATAATACTTATTAACTCCGTGAAGAGTCCCTAGGGAATCCTTGGATCTCCTCTAGCTTCCCCAGGGACTCACGATAGGGATTACTTCGGGAATTCTTTTAGGTAGTCTCAATTAGGGTGCAGATGTTGATCTCGATGTCACTGATCAGGACAGGCTAACATCCACACCCACACATCCTCTTAACTGAAATAAACTAATAAAAAGCTGAACAAAAATAGAATCAGCGCTGAACATTTTTAAATTAATTACTGAAATTTTTGAATTGCTTACTGAACTTCATGAATTATTTATTTTACCAACATTATTTTTTTATTGAAAAAGAACTACTGGACTTTTGATAAAAAATTTACTGAACATTCATAATAAAATACCGAACGATTAAATACAAGCCATTTCGAAATAAAAACTACGATGTTCTCTTTCTCGTAGAGAAAAGTCTTGCAAGAATAAATTGTTTGCTTGCTTGTATGTCCGCACTTCAGTGATTGGTCCAAAACCAAGGTGAAGATCAAAGGGATTATTTTCCATAAAAGTTGACCAAAGGGTAATCGAGGGTGTAGAATTCGAATCCGAGCTCTATTTTATTCATTATTAACTAATTATTAATTATTAATGTTTTGTATAGGACTTGACCAAAGTTAATTAGGGGTGAGGAATCCAACTTTGAGGACAATTTTAATTAATTTATAATTGATTGATTATTATTTATTAGTGTGTTTTTCAAAAAATTGACCCCTGGTAATCGAGGGTGCAGAATACGAATCACAGATCGATTTTAATTATCAATTTATTATTGCTGAATTATTAGTTATTTATGTTTTCGATAAAATTTGACCGGAGGTGATCGAAGGTAGAGAACCCAAATCTGGAATGCGCTTTAATTGTTAATCACAAATATCTTTCACGAGACTCGAAAGGAAAAATTAAGGGTCAGAACATGAATCCAAAGTTTCTTTTGATTTTTTACTAAGTACTGTTATTATTCGTATTTTTTCTAGAAAACTTGATCCACGATTTTTTCAAAAAAAATGAGAATGTCGATAAGTTTGTGTTAAAAAGCTAGCAACACTAAGGAGTAGTAAAACATACTAATGTCGCCATAGTTTAGAAAAAAACTTCACTTGGAGAAATTTTAAAATAAGAATTTTAATCTGAAACTAGCTACTGTTACTAATGTTGATAAGTGAATAATTTGGAGAGCGTTCAGAAACGGCACTCCTACAAGAAAGAGCTGAATGAGTCCACTGACGAGCATCACTTGTCTGATATAGGTAATCTATATCAGGCCAGAGAATGTTAATTTCATGAGTGTTAGCTTTTTTTCTGTTAAACATTAATGAATACGATGATATTGTTTAAAATAGTCAAATATCACAGTACACTTAGTTGACATAGCCTTGATGAAAGTAGTTAGAGCTTTTTGTTTTGTCGCGATTAATTTTCTAGCGAAGCTACTTGAGATTTCTTTTTCAGGATTTTGATCGATGTAATCAGGATCCTAATGTAGGTTGAATTTTTCTGGACGAAATGCTGAAACGTTCAAGAAAAGATGTAGCATACAATTTGAAAAGCTGTCACAGTTCCAAACGTAATTTCATCGAAATCCTCAGTAGTATTACATTTGGTTCAGAATTAAGAAGTGCTTGAACAGAAAGTAATAAATCTAGTAAGAGTCGTATAACTTGAAAACATGAATGAGTTTCCTTAAGTAAACATATACAGCTTATAGTAAATATGTACCTATCTGAACTTAGCTCATATATACACTCTGTCAATCAACATAATATATGCCAGAGGACTGGACTGATATTATCAGATGGACATTAGATTCCGAAGAATCGGTAACTACAAATAAAACAGACAAGGGTAAATATCATTCGAGTCTTTTATAACTTTTTGCAGTTCCACTATTGACTGGACATAATGAATTTCTGATAACTTTTACCACTACTGAAAGCATCGTTAAAAAGAAAATATATCCACAGTAATAAGAGTCTGTATTTAACATTCTTAATGAACAACTTTACGCCAGAAGAATCTTTCTACATGTAGCAATAGCCTCCTATGCCCAAGCTCGAATATGGCTCGATGAACGTATACGTTTTGATCCTGAAAAACTACAAGTGGCTATCTACAATTTGCCCTTTTTATGTCAAATTCGTCCTGGTGGTACCATATCAATTTCACAACTACGTCGAGCTCTTCAAATTGTCATCAAGAAGCATGAATCACTTCGTACATCACTTATTTTTGATACTAAAACAAATATGTTAATGCAGCGAATCATTGGCCTCAATGATGATAGTAAAGAAATATTTATATTCAAAGAAAGTACTATCAAAACGGATGAAGAACTACATGTTCTTATGCATGACGAACGAAAGAATCCGAATCATTTTGATCTTACTCAAGGTCTTGTCGTTCGATGTCGTGTTGTCCACATAAAAAGTGACTCACAATCTGATAGTATTAGTGAAGGAGATGCTATCATTTTCAACTTTCATCATACTGTATTCGATTTTCCATCATTCGATGTGTTTCATCAAGATCTTAATGAAGCATATATGACAGATCAACTGATATATGATGCTAATTCTGTTCTGCGTTATATTGACTGTAAGATTATTATTCATAACTTTGCTTTATTAGTTTCTTTGTCCCTACTGTATAGACGCTATCATCGAGCATCAGATACCCATGTCAGTTGCAAGCGCATTTTGGCTGGATTCTCTACGGAATTCGAAAATTGATCATCCTTTACATTTGCCATTTGATCGTCGCCGTGTCTCTACCGAACATCGAACCGGTCGCGGAATCTCAATTTCTTTTGACTTTGGCGAAGATCTTTCAGAAGTTTTTCTCAATCACGCTTCTATGAATAAAACAACCCCAGAATATATGGCTCTAGCCAGTTACTACGCCTTCTTGTTCAAGTTAGCTAATGGAGATCGAGACTTATGCATTGGAATGAACGTTCACGGTCGTTACAAACCAGAACTCATGTCAATTATTGGCATGTTTGTGAATGCGATACCCTTACGATGTAAACTTGATCCTCATTGGTCTTTCACTCAACTCCTAGAAGAGGTTCATCAGATAGCTAGTGATAGCATAGATCATTCTTATTTTCCTCTACAACGCATTCTAGCTCAACATCCACAAGCATCCAGGCCTGCTTTTCTTGATACATCTTTTCAATTCGATTCAAATACAGTACAGAACATATTTACAAACGTGATGATTGGTAATGCTAATCTTTCCATTGCACCATATTCATTCAAAATTGGAATAAATGAAATCGCAAGCAAGTTTGATTTTTCTCTTAACATTCACCATGATAAGCTCAATAACCAGTTGTCGTGCACAATCCATGGATCACTTGATCTCTTTGAGCAGGAAACAATTAAAAAGTTTGCCCAAAGATTTCACATCATGTTGAAGCAGTTATTTCAATCTACATTTAATTGGAATCGGGATCCAGTTTATAGGTTATCACTGATACTTCCAGAAGAAGACAAGTTGATTCGATCTTTGAACGAATGCGGAACTTCATTCTCCTCTATCACTTGTGTACATGAAGAATTTACATTTAGATCGTTAGATTTATCGCAAAAAGTAGCCGTGGAACTCGATGATCAATCGTTAACATACGATGAACTCCTACATTGTGTGCAATTACTAAGTCTATATCTTCTTAAGAAGTATGAGATCAAACCAGGTGATATTATATGTCAATGTGTCGAGCGTAGTATCTTGATGGTGATGCTTTTTCTAATTACCATTATTCAACTTTATAACAAATAATTCTCAAATCTTTAGGTTATAGGTATCATGTCTATTCAAATGAGTGGTGGCATCTACTGTCCATTGTCACCTCGAAATCCTGATCAACGTTTGTTGATGCTTCTCAAAGAAACAAAAAGTCGTCTTGTTCTTGTTCACTCAATGACACGAGAAAGATTTGGTGGCGAAGTTATTTTGGAAGATGTCGACGTTATTTTGAATAGTGATGACATTGGAAATGATTGCAATCCTAATAGACTCATGTTTCCAGTAATGACATCGAATTGTGTTGCAGCTATCGTTTTCACGAGTGGATCAACTGGAATACCGAAAGCGGTGAGTTTCCAATTGTTTTATCCATTGAAAGTTACGGATACATTACTATTCTTGTAGATTCAACTGCGACACAGCAATCTAGTGTCTTGTATTCAATCACTGGAACATCTCAACATGTTAAATCAAAACGATATAATTATACAACTCGCTCAATGCTCTTTTGACGCTCACATGTTAGAAATCTTGGGAGCATTTATTCTTGGCTCTACTATTGTCATGCTTCATCCAAAAGGGAATATGGATTTAACTTATATTACCGAAGTTCTCAGCGAGAAGCAAATTACTTACATGTTTGCTGTGCCAACATTAATAAACGGCCTCTGTGATTTTTTCGAAGAAGCTAAAATTCCTCATCTATACGCCATGCGATCGCTGTGTGCTGGAGGTACGTAGAATAGAAGTGACATCAAAGATATAAATATTGCTCGTTTGTATACGAATTCTTAGGAGACCTTGTTTCGCCCAAGTTGATAGAAAGAATGAAAAACATTGTTACTTCAGATTGTAAAGTTTGGAATGGATACGGACCAGCAGAAACGACCATTTTCTGTACATGTTATCAGGTCAATTCCAACATGCGTGAAGATATCATTCCTGTTGGTCGACCACTTTCCAACTCGCGATGTATTATTTACGATGAGTTCGAACAAACTGTCTTCGTGGGTCAAGAAGGGGAACTTTTCGTGGGAGGTGGAGGACATTTTGCTGGCTACCTAAATCGCGATGATTTAACAGTAAAAGCACTAGTGAAAATCAACGGTAAACTTTACTATCGAACAGGTGATATTGTTAGAATGGATAGCAATGGTTTGATCAATTATATCGGCCGTAAGGATCATCAGATGAAAATACATGGGCAACGTATCGAAGCTGGCGAAATCGAACGGTGTTTGCTTGAGACGCATATCACAGCATGTGTTGTGGTGAAATTTGGGGACGATCATTTAGTCGCTTATGTACAATGCTCAAACATCGACGAAGAAGTCTTGCGTAAATATTGTCGTTCACGGTTGCCGCCATTTATGGTTCCTTCGCATTTCATTGTGTTAAATCGATTACCATTAAATGCAAATGGAAAAGTGGATCGAAAGCGTCTACCCATTCCGGACTTTCTTGCGTCGAGTGTATCAACAACAAGTAAATTTACTCTCCCTAAAACTGAAATGGAAGAACGTGTGCATGATCTTTGGCGCGAAGTACTAAAGACTGGTGACAAAAGAATTTCAACGGTTACTGGCTTCTTTAGTGCCGGTGGCCACTCACTACTTTTCATTAAACTCTATCATCATTACCAGTCAATATTTAATTTTGATAGTCATATGCTCAGCATTACACCATTTCTTCAGCAGGCAACTATCATTGAACATGCAAAATTACTTGAATCAATCAAACTAATGCATGTGAAGCCCAAAGAGTGGCACTCACTTCATATTACCGAAGGTAATACATATAATTTTAGTTATCACCTTTACTCAGATATAAGTAATTTTCACTTAATAGGAATTGCATCATTTGCTCAAGAACGTATTTTTCTTGATGAACATGTGCGCTTCTCGAAGAAATTTGCAGTTTACAACGAGCTAATAGTGCTAACTGTGAAGAATGGTTCACTGTCAATGGAGCGTCTGCAAAGAGCAATTATATCACTTTTAGAGAAGCATAAAATACTAAGAAGTTCAGTTTTTTTCGACAAGAACAGCAACAATGTGATGCAGAAAATTCTACATGATGTGCATCAGCATTTTGTAATAGTAATGGATAAGGAATTTGAAACGAATAACGACCTTGATTCTATACTTAGCAGCATAATTACTAGTACAAATCTCTTTGATTTATCTCGTGGATATGTTGTTCATTGTGAAATTGTCCGGCATGCACCGAATAGCGACCGCGATAACCGTAATCTGATTACCACTTCTGACATGCTCGTTTTGGCCTTTCATCATGTGACATTTGATCGTACTTCTATTCCAATTCTATTCAAAGATCTATCTATCGCATACAACACTGATCGACCTTTGGATATCGATACTAACTCACTACAATACATTGATTATTCTGCACACGAACGTCATATGGATATGACAGCTTCCAGTGATTTCTGGCGCATGGAGCTTGACGGATATGATATGGAGAAGTATGTTTCTTTGCCAATTGATCGAAATCGTGTATGTTATGATGAACGATCAAATGCTGCTTTCTCCGCTCAGTTCTCACTCGACAATGACTTCTCAACATATTTTCTCGAATATGCTGCTTCACATAACGTTACACCGTTTCAATTGGGTTTGGCTACTTTCTATGCGTTTCTGTACAAGTTGTCCCATGGCCAAGCTGATTTATGCATAGCTTGCGTTAATGCTAATAGATACAGAACCGAGATACAAAATCTTGTTGGAATGTTTGTCGCTACGCTTCCGTATCGTGTGCAACTAAACCGTCATGGTACCTTCGATCATCTTGTTGAGCAGGTTCAAAACAAGTGTTTGTCAATTGTTGAACATTCTCATTATCCATTACAACACATTCTAGCCAATTCAAATCATGCAGATTCGACGCCAGCCTTTCTTGAAATCGTATTCGATTTTATAACTAACTCTCGAGACATCAATTGGCTAACTTTTAATGAAGCAGAAATCGAGCCTTCTGGATATCAAAAATGGAAAGAAGTGGCGAAATTTGATTTTCTCTTAACTTTCTCTTACAACACATCATCGGAAAGCGAACAAATATCATGTACTTTTGTGTGTTCACGTGATTTATTTAATGAGACAACGGTTCTAAAAATAGCGAAGCAGTTTGAATATGTGCTGCTGCAGCTTTTTTCATCGACATCAACTATAAGCCAGTTTGATCCATCCCAAAGTCCACTAACTAAAATAAGTCTTCTTTTGCCTGAGGAAGCACAGGAAATGCAACATCTCACTTTTCATCGACTATCAAACTATTGCACTATAGGTATGATACATCGCTTACATATTGTTTCTTTGGATCAGAATAAATCGGTCGAAAGATGGCCAGGAATCTTGAAAATGAAAGCATTCCTTATATCTATGAGATATTTTTGTGGGCATACATTTTGCACGGATCCTGTTTTTCTGAACTGTTCATATTTTGGTCTTCTTAAAACCATTCTGATTCATGTTAGACTTAACAACAACCAGAATTTTCTTGATTTTCAGTTTTAGTTCATAAGAATACCGGAGAAAAGAATGTAGATCAATTGGGTCACAAAGCAACTGAGAATGAAAGGAAAAAATGAAATCGGACACGGCCCATACTCTTTGCTTACTGAGGTAATACGAGTGGAAAGTTGGCGGAATCCCAGCATATAAGTTGTTTTGAGGGTATATCTTTCAATACTTATTTATATCATGAGCATGGAAATAGGATTTTTCTATTTAATATGGAACTCTTAATTGTTTTCGATCAAGGCGATAAAGACAATTAGGGAAAGGCTTGGAAATGACGCAAAAAGTGTCAAGTATTGCGATGAGCCAGACAAAGAGTCTTATGGAAAGCAACATCAAATAGTTTCAATGAGTCTTATTTATGTAAACTTCCATCGTGCATGAGTTAGAACATTATGCTGAATTAAGTGACAAGTGAAACTAGTTAAAATAAATGCGGAAACCTCGGACTTACATCCGAGGGTTATGTGTACTTTAAAAAGCGAAAATGGACATCCATTTTTTTTTCTTAAATTTTTATTTTATAGAAAAAAGATTTTGTTCAGAATTTTCAAAATCTGATTTCAGATTCGGATTCACCGACCCCGATTTGCTCTCGCCAACCTTTATAAAATATCGCTATTTTCTCAAGAAACCCTTTCGTTGGCCCAAAAGCTTTAGCTGAAATTTTGAATGCTTTATATACCATTTTGTAGCTCGTGAAATTCTCTATCGAATGGTATATAATAGTTGGGGTTTTATTTTGACTATGATAGGAAAATGTTTTTATGAAAGCGGGTATAGGTCGATTTTCGCATAAGAGACCATAGGGAAAAATCAGTATTTTTGCAATAACTCAGGAAAAGCTCCTCCAATCAGGCTCATCTTCGAACTCGACCGCGGCATCGATGAGACTAAACTGTGTAGAAAATTTCATCATGATCTGACTCTCCTTTCGAAAGTTATCGGTATACGGCCGGACGGCTATACTGACCGATTCTAGAGTGTACTCACTTTTTGAGTACACAAAAAAAGAGAAAAAACACTTTCGGACTCGCTTCCATCCATCTGTAGGTGGTAGAGGAATTTCAGAAGATAGTTTTTTCTTATGATCAGAATCACAACTGTATCCTACAAGCTATTTATTGCTTTTGAAGAACCATCGAAAAGGCCACTTTTGTGGTGATAAAGTTGAGATTGTGTTGAGAGAAAATGGTTCCAATATGTCTGCTCTCCACTACTAAATCGTAGACAATAGCCAGCTTACAACATATAGCTGTGATGAGTAGTATTAGCAATATCTTCTTTATTAATCATATTCCAATTACAAGAAAAAGCGTCTTTCGAAGTTCCTCTGCCATCTGCAGATGAAAATAAGCTCACTTGTTATCTAATTCAGTGTAAGTCATTTTTTGTATCGATCTCCAACATTCTTCTCAATTTTCTTTATATTTTGGTAGAAAATCGAGAGTTCCATATTAGACAAAAAATCCAAACTTTGTTCTCATGATATCAATAAATGCCGAAAGATATATCTGCAAAACATCTCCTCATATCTTCGTAACCTAACACCTTTCTCACTGATACTGCCACAGTAAAGGAACGACTTGTAATATTTTTAAGTTCTATTTTTTTTTAATCTACCCATGCTCTGTCGTTTGATGTGTTGCACGAAGAAATTCCCTGATTTCTACTGGAAGAAATTTAGTAGAAATTTATGATTTAAGTCAACAGTGACACAGTTCGGTCCAAATTAACGTTGCTATAGAGTATATGCGTGTGACTGTGTGTCTGATGCTGAAACAAAATATCCACGTCTACCATCACAAGCATCCATGATCTCAAAATGAGCTGGAAATTTACGCTTAGCAGTTTCAGACGCCACCTGCTCAAATGCAGAAAAAAAAGTAAAAAAATTAATGTTCGGAAAGTATTTCGTGTACTGATATCAGACCTGGTTTTTCCATCAAAGCTCTCTCCATAATTAGAAAAAAACCGTGCCCTGGAACCGTTTTGTTCAAAATGAAATATCCGAATGAGAGATTTTTATCTTCAGCTCCGGCCTCATATGCACAATCCCGCATTTGGTTCGATGAACGAATACGTTTCGACCCAGCAAACTTACAAGTTGGCATTCATAATATGGTCTTTCTTTATTACATTCGCTCCGATGCTATTGTATCCATCGCAAAATTACGTCGGGCTCTACAATTGCTCATTGTGAAGCATGAATCTCTTCGCACAGCACTCATTTTCGATATTGAAAAGAACATGTTAATGCAAGAAATCATCAACGCCGATGACAACAAGAGGGAACTATTCGTATTCAAAGAGAGTGTTGTTGATAAAGATGAAGAACTGAATGATATTATATTTGATGAAAGAGGGAATCCCAATCATTTTGATCTCGCTCGGGGCCTCACACTTCGATGTCACATTATTCATTTGAAACACAACTTAAACAGTGACATTCTCTGCGAAGGAGACGCATTCATCCTTAATTTTCATCATGCTGTGTTCGACTTTCCGTCACTGGGCATATTCCATGAAAACCTGAATCAGGCTTATACGGCCGGTCGACTATCACAGCAAGATGATTCCACTATTCGTTATATCGACTGTAAGATAAACGCTTAGTACTTTTGTTTAGTGAATAGTTCTACTCTAAATCATTTAGATGCCATCATCGAGCAACAAATATTAATGTCTGCAGCGAGTAGTTTTTGGCTTGATTCTCTTCGTGATTTTAAAATTGATCAGTGTTTGCATTTGCCATTTGATCGTCGTCGCCTCTCTGACGAACATCGAACTGGCCGTGGCATCTCAGCATCTTTCAACTTCAACGAAGATCTCTCAAAAACGTTTCTGTCAATAGTTTCCATGTATAAAACAAAACCAGAATATTTGGCCCTAGCCATCTACTATGCTTTTCTGTTCAAGTTAACTAATGGAGATCGAGACTTATGCATTGTAACGAATGTTCATGGTCGTTATAAACCAGAACTCATGTCAATTATTGGCATGTTTGCGAATGTAATACCCTTACGATGTAAATTTGATCCTCATTGGTCTTTCACTCAACTTCTAGAAGAGGTTCAACAGATGGCTAGTGATAGTTTAGAACATTCCTATTTTCCTCTACAACGTATTCTTGCCCAACATTCACAAACATCGAAGCCGGCTTTTCTTGATACATCTTTTCAATTCGATTCAAATACAGTGCAGAACATATTTACAAACGTGAACATTGGTGATGCTTGTCTCTGTTTTGCACCGCATTCATTCAAAATTGGAACAGATGAAATCGCAAGCAAGTTTGATTTTTCTCTTAACATTCACCATGATTTGACTAACGACCAATTATCTTGTACAATCAATGCTTCTCTGGATGTCTTCGAGCCAGAAACAATCAATCGATGTGCTCGAAGATTTCAAATCATGTTGAAGCAGTTACTTGATCCTACTACCAACTGGAAAATGGATCCTATTTACAAACTATCGTTGCTTTTGCCAGAGGAAACTCAATTAATCGAATCAGTGAATGATTGCTCGATCCCCTACTCGTCTCTAAACTGCGTACACGAAGAGTTCTGCCGTCGAGCAACAGAATTATCACAAAAAGTAGCGGTGGAACTCGATGATCAATCTTTAACATATAATGAACTTCTATATTATGCGCAATTACTTGCACTCCACCTTCTTAAGAAATATGAGATTAAATCTGGTCAAATTATCTCTCAATGTGTGGAAAGAAGCATATCAATGGTTAGAGCAGAAAAATATATCCAGAAAACAAAATACACAAGTTTTTCTATATGTTTAGGTTATTGGTATCGTGTCAGTCGAAATGATTGGCGGTGTGTACTGTCCACTTTCGCCTCGAAATCCAGAGCAACGGCTTCTAATGTTACTAGAGCAAACAAAAAGTCATATTGTTCTTGTTCATTCAATGACACGAGAAAAATTCGGTGATGATATTGTTACAGAAGATATCGAACTTATTTTCAGTGATGGTCAGCTGCGAACCAGCTGTGATCTCGATCGTATATTGTCTTACATGACGACATCAGAATCAGTCGCAGCTATCGTTTTCACAAGCGGATCAACTGGAGCACCTAAAGCGGTGAGTTTTAAGTTATTATATCTTCTCACAGTGACTCGTATAGTATTGTGCTTTTAGATTCAACTACGACACAGAAACATCACTGCTTGTATTCGTACCCTTGAAGATCTCAAGATGTTGAGCCAGAAGGAGACAATCATACAGCTTGCTCAATGTTCATTCGACGCTCATTTGCTAGAAATCATGGGAGCACTTGTTCTTGGTTCCACCATTATCATGCTTCGTCCGGAAGGACATATGGATCTAACATATCTCTCTGCAGTTCTGAACGATAAACAAGTCAGTTATATGCTTGCTGTACCAACACTTCTTAATAGTCTCTGCTATCTGTTTGACGAAGGACAAATTTCTCGTTTCACAACAATCCTATCACTTTGTGTAGGAGGTTCGTAAAATACGACTTTTCTTTATATTTATAACGAGATGACACTATTACAATTTGTATAAAATAGGAGAAACTGTTACGACCAAGTTAGTGCAACGAATGAGAAGCGCTCTCGCTAGCGGTTGTCGAATTTGGCATGTTTACGGTCCAGCTGAGACGACAATCATTTCAACTTATCATGAAGTAAACTTCATGTATCAGAAAAGTACTATTCCACTCGGTCGTCCCATTTCAAATTATCAATGCCTCATTTGTGATATGTTTGATGAATTGGTGTTTATTGGTCAGCAAGGTGAGCTACTGGTCGGAGGTATCGGTGTTTTTATGGGATATCTCGGTCGTGATGATTTGACCACAAAAGCATTGGTCACAATTGGAGGTACAATGTACTATCGGACAGGCGACCTTGCTCGAATGGATAATAGTGGTCTCATCTACTACATCGGTCGCGAGGATCATCAAGTGAAGCTGCGTGGGCAACGTATCGAAATAGGCGAAATTGAGAGATGTTTACTAGATGCACAAGCTACTGCATGCATAGTGACTAAATATGGAAATGATCATTTGGTGGCTTACGTACAAGGATCTAATATTGATGAAGAAGTTTTACGAATACATTGCTGTTCTCGTCTGCCACTATTTATGGTTCCTTCAAAATTTATTGTATTGAGTCAGTTACCATTAAATGCGAATGGAAAAGTGGATCGAAGTCGTCTTCCCACTCCTGACTTTTCTTCGTTAGATACGACAATTGACAACCATCATGTCCCTAATACTGAAATGGAAGAACGCGTACATGACTTTTGGTGTGAAGTGCTTGAAATCATTGGCAAAAGACTTTCAACAACTGCTAGTTTCTTCACTGTGGGTGGTCATTCACTTCTTCTTATCAAACTTTACCATCGTTATCAATCATTTTTCAGTTTTGATGGCCGCAAGCTTACTATTTCAATGTTTCTTCAGCAGCCAACTATCGCTGAACATGCAAGATTACTGGAAGGAATCAGGCATACTGACATGAAACTGAAAACATGGACATCACTTCATATCAAAGAAGGTAACGCAGTTGTCTCAAGTAACTTCAAAAGTAATGTTTGATTTTAACACTTGCAGGCATTGCATCTTTTGCTCAAGAACGCATCTTTCTTGACGAGCAAGTGCGTTTCTCAAAAAAAGTAGCTGCCTACAATATATTGGTAGTATTTCGACTTAAAAACGGCTCCTTATCAGTTCAACGTCTTCAACGTGCAATAAGGTTTGTTTTGGAGAAACATCAAATCTTGCGGACCTCTCTTACCTTCGACACTCTTGAAGGAAGCCTTAAGCAACAAGTCGAAAAACATCACGAGAAATTCATTGTTGCCAAAGGACGAACATTTTCGGACGAAAAAGAACTTCACTCAACTCTTCGAGAACTGATCACAAGTGACAGTCTATTTGACTTATCGAAAGGCTATGTTGCTCATTGTGAAGTTATGCGGCATGTGCCAATTGAAACAACTCAGAGCGACGATCTAGCTATTCCATCTGACGTACTTGCAATAAGTTTTCATCATGTGGCGTTTGATGGTGCTTCTGGTAGAATATTCTTTAAAGACCTATGTACCAGTTATAATAGTGACTCAGCATTACAGTTTGATGACAACTTATTGCAATACATAGACTACTCGACTCATGAACGTCTCTTGGATATGATAACAGCGCGTGACTTTTGGCGATCACAGCTTAACGGATATGATTTCGAAAAACATATTATGTTACCAGTCGATCGACTTCGTTCAGCGCTTGACGAACGATCTACTGATGCATGCTCTGCTAAGTTTTCACTCGACAGCAATGTGTCAATGTCATTTCTGAATTATGCGTCATCTCATAATGTCACGCCATTTCAACTAGGTCTTGCCATATTTTATGCATTTATTTTCAAATTGTGCCACGGTCAACGGGATTTATGTATCAGTTGTGTCAATGCTAATCGATACAGAGCCGAAATAGAAGATATAGTTGGTATGTTTGTTGCTACTCTTCCATATCGTATTCAAATGGATCCGTACCAATCATTCGATCATCTTGTCAAGCAAGTTCATGAAAGATGCTTGACAATTCTTGAACATTCATTTTACCCACTTCAGCATATCCTTGCTGATTCCGATCATGCAAAGAAGAGCAGCGCCCTCCTCAAGATTGTATTTGACTTCAATGCTAGACCTTTAGAGGTCGATCAGCTTATTTTTGATGGAGCACAGATGGAGTCATTACCATTGACGATGATAGACGAAGTGGCTAAATTTGACTTTTTTCTCACATTGTCTTGTGATACCATGTCAGAAAATGCACAACTCTCGTGTTCGCTTGTTTGTTCTCGTGATCTATTCGATGAATCCACTGTCATAGCAATGGGAAGACGGTTTAAACAACTATTCCTGCAATTATTCTCATTCACATCAAATTTCAATACACTTGATCGATCACAAGCACCGCTTATAAAACTGAGCCTTGTTCTTCCAGAAGAAGTTGCAGAAATGAAGCAAGCAATCTTTCATCCATTATCAAACTCCATTAAGACAGGTAAGCTGATTTATGTATTTTGTGCATTCGTGTGCGAATCTATAGATACAAAGATTACACAAAACGAATGATAATATTCCTTCCAAGAAACGCTGGCTTGCCTATATGATCATTTTGATTTTGATTATCGCAAGAGTGAAAAGAAAGTTTTACTTACTAGTATTGAACCTGTAGCCTACTGAGTTGCAGAAGAAAAAGAAATATGACTTTAGATTTATTCAATCTAGAGTTATTGCCATTTTAAATCAGAAATCTTGAAAATAAATTTGATTTTTATAAACTTGGCTCGCTCCATTGTAGTTTTAAAATGCTTTCTAGATTTCTTCGGGCATTTAATAGTTAATATGTTCATCATAGTAGCCAAAATTGCATCATATAACAACTTTTATGAAGCTAAGACTTCTGCTAAGTTCTAATTATTGAAGGACTTCATTCTGTACTCAAAATTTTATAACTCAAAAAAAACTGCAATCAAGTTTAAAAGATCTCAAAAAGATTTCATGCCTTTTTTTAACAAGATTACACAATATTCTATAGTTTTAGCTTTTTAAAGATTGCATACAATCTTGAATGAAAGATACTATTCTAACTCTTGTGAGATTCTCACAATCAGAGTGATATAAACCTAGACCAAATGAGCCGTGTCAGTTCCTATGACATGAAATGAAATTTCTAGCAAAAGCAGCATACAATATAGCATGATACTAGTTCTAAATGTTCTTATCGGGTTAAAGATACTGGCAGAGATGCAATAAACCTGGTTGATTTCAAAACCCGTGTTTCACAATATTTGGCCTTGATTTTTAGAAACACTCCATGAAGATTCTAGATTTACGGAATCAGAATCCTTCATACCGAACTATATAGTTGTTTGTGTTTCTGTCATTTAATTCTTATCACTGTATTCAAAAACACTGCTAAACGCCTTTCAGTACTGAAAAAACACTTGCACAGTTTGACAACATTTGACTTTAAACTTGTAGAAAAACGAAACTTTAGTCAAGCAAGATCAAAACTTACAGTTTTTCTTCATGTTGGGCGAAATATAGTAGTACTATTGTATAGAGCGAAATCATTGAATAAAAGTGACATAAAAAGTTGATCAAGTTCTATGAGTTTCTATACTGAAGATCTTGAATTTTTTTGGACTTACATGAAACTTAAATCGAGTCGAATCCAAACCAAATTTTAGCTTTGGATCAGATAGAGATTAGGTTTCGTACATTCCTAGTTATTTGTAAAGAATTCAGATATTCCTGCTAGATAAGGTAGTTATTCTCTAGGAATACGACGCTAAACATGTTATAAGGTTTAGGGATGGAAATATGTATTCATACTTACTAATAACAATTTCAAAGCGATGGCAACAGTTTACATATAAATCTAGCCTGTTACGAGTAGAACTAACAATGTATATATAAACGTGTACAATAATATGGATGCATATAATGTGTTCAAGTTAATAGAAACGGACTGAGGATTTATGCAAGGATTCAGATTTAAATGTAAGGCGCTGAGAATCGATCTAAAAGTTTAGATTTAGGCATAAGGAATTAGCTAAATAGATGAGAATTACAACAGAGATTTGCTGTTGACGAATAGGAATCCAAAATTAGGTATACAGACATATAGCGCGTTGCAAATCTAGATATAATTGGCGAATTGTAAACATTAAAAATGGAAAAAAAGGTTTACAAAGTTTGAACTCGACTGTTAGAAATGACTAGTTGTAAAGCTGAATAGTTCGAACTAGATACAGAGGATAGTAGCTACTCATTAGGTATTTCGTAAGAACTACATATATATTAGAACAAATGATAAATAAGGTTCTAAGATGTGGATGCAGGTGTAGGTGGGTAGATAAAGATTAGATTCTCAGTTACACCTACATCCAAACCCCACACCCACAGCTCTGCATAAAAGTAATAGTTATAAGTTAAATGCATTGGCGTAAGAAAATCGCATAGGAAAATCGCTTTCGAAACAATTAAACAAAAGATTCTAGATAGAATCTGGTTCTTATTAAAATTGAAGGAGTGTCGACTCAGTTAAATAAATTCGAACTTTTTAGAATTCTCTTTAGAGAGAGTCTGCGAGAAGACCACCCTACTCTCCATAGAGGTCAATGGGAAAAAAAATTTTTTTCGATTTTATTTTCTTAAGTCATAGGTCTAGGCAAACTATATTTAAATCCAAAATATTAGCTCATTTGGTTTTACCTATGCAAAATGCGAGTTAAAAAAGTTTAACGGCATCCAAATTGACCCTAAAAAGGCGCTAAAAGTGGGTGTGCTCAGTATTTTCACATTTTCTCATGAATGACTTGACCGTTTGAGATCAGGTACCTCTCATTAGATAGGAAATAGTATAGGCTACAAATGTACTCTATTTCGATGATTCATATCTGCGATAAAAGAGATTTTATAGATCAAAAATCCTCCAAATCACAAGAAATCCTACATTCTGGAATAGCATATTTTGGACTTTTCTTGAGTGGTACAAGCGGTACCAAACTTCTTTTTTTTACCATACATAGATCTTGTCAAGATACATCTTTTGACATGAAATTGCCAAGATTAAAAAACTGGAGGGTCAAATTAGCATGGACCACACCGTGGCCAACTCTACCTAGTCACCAATGATTCTTCCCACAAAGTGATAAAATT